TATGGGTGAGCACACAGAGGTTCTAGGCGTGCCAAATTCTCAGATTTTTCCAATAGTGGGAAAAAATTATTTGAACAAAGAACAGGATTTGGAAGAATAAAAAAAAAAAACTTCCTGTAGACCAGGAGTAAAAAGTCACCTGACTCTCTGCCTGATGAAGCTGCAGCTGAGTCATCTTCTATTCTCTGGCAAAGGCACAGGATTATTTATCACAGTTGTTAAAAAATATATATAATTTTCTTTTCTGACTAATATAAGCTCAAAATTAATTTAGTTTCTCATACTATAACATTCGTGTTAGAATAAAGTTTAAAAAATTTAAGAATTTTAAAAACCTAAAATGTATTTTAAAAGCTATACAGAAAAAAAAGCCCCACCGGAGAGTCACCATTTTTTCCTTTACAGATATTATATATATATACAAATATATTCATGTATTTGTACAGAGCACAGAATTAAACATCCACACCAGAAAAACAGACTCTGGACTTTGCTTCCACAAATATTAAGTCCAAAAGCATGGTTTGCCGTAGATTTTTCAGCCTTTTGGTGATCGGCATTTTGCAAGGGAACAAAAATCCACTTGTCATCTCCCACGTTTCTTTTGGAAAAGGATTTTTCATATTTATATAGGACAAGGAAAAGCCGACCTTTTAATACAGCAAATTATGCAGGAAACCTGTCGGACTAGGTGCTTTGAAAGTACATCAGCAAAAATTAACAATTAAGGAAAAGCCTCTTTCCCCAAATACACCTCTTAACCCCTCAGGCAAGTTAATCCTCATTCCTTTATAAGCTTAGACACAACAGCAACTTCCTTTAAGCATCCAGGAAAAAAAAAAAAGAAGGCAAAAAATGCAGGGGATGCAAACAAAACTCTGTTGCTGCTCTCTTTGCACGACTGAATGATGATGGCTGCTCACGTAAATACAGAATTCCGCAGACACCCGAAGGAGCCATTGGAAAGTACAGGGAACAAAGGGCCTTCTTTAGCTATAAAGCTCCATCTGGCAGCATTTCTACTGGAGATGTCAGCCGGGAGATCAGCACAGAGCCAGCAGGCAGCCTCTGCACCTGCAAACCCTCTGCTTGCAGAGAAAATGTGCTGCTTTATTTTCCAGCACAAACTCTGCCCGACGGAGCCGGAGCTCTACGACTGCAGCACAAGAGCAACTGGCAAATGATTTTTTTTCCGAAGAATTATGTCGCTTACCTGCAATGCAACATCATTTAGCCCAATCGCAATGATTTTAATAGCATCCTTCCTTGGGCGGTATGGCTGCAGCAGCGGTGATGTCATGGGGAGGAAGCAGTAACCATCATGTGACTGCATCCTCCGTCTATAGGATCTCTGCTGGGGGGAGACGCACAGCCCGCAATCCTGCGGGATTAAACTGAAGCTCTTTACCCTGCCCTGCCGCTGCCGGCACCACTGCAACACGCTGCTTCTTTGCCTCCTTAACCTGAGCTAATCAATCGCTCTGTGTATTTTTTTTTTCAACATTCTCGTTTCTCAGGAAGGTAAAAGCATAGCAGTATCTGTGTGCACAGCAGCAAGGATTCCTGGTGACTCTGCAGGCCAGGTTGCTGCCCTGTGAAATCTGTAATCACAGCAGCTTGAAAATGAGACAAACTGCAACTTCACTATCCCAAGCTATTTTTATGGCGCTGCATTTCAAGCTTATCCAAACTGACTTCCTTCCATCTTACGTGTCATATTCATGCCCTGCAAACCTCCCTCAAAGCTTTCATCCTTATTACCTTCACTTCTTAATCCATCCCACCATCCATCCACCAATGCAATTGTCACTGCTTGAAAGATCCTCTCCTGGATGCCAGCCTGCTTTTACTTTTCAAAACATCTCCTTAAGCTTTCTCACATATTGAAAGGCTAGAACTTCCTAAAATATTTTTTTGAAAAGGCAGTTAGCCTGACTTTCACATTTTGGTTAACACTGTATAGCATCTGAACTGTAATCTTGGGGGTTTTATTTGTTTTTGGTTTTTGTTGTTTGGGTTTTGGTTTGTTTTGAGGGTTTTTTTGAGGGGCAAGGGGAATGTTTAAGAATTTTGTCATACTCAGCAATGTATTTGATTTCTACAAGAAGGTAAGAATTACCAAAAATTTTGTACAAGCCACTAGGCAGAGGCTGTAACTGTTCTTTCTGAAGACCTTGTACATGTTTGTACGTGTGCAGTGTGTTCTATTTGAGGTCATTCACCTAACTGTTCAGCTTCCTGTATTTGAGTATTGTGCAGACTGGGTTTACCCCTACAGATAACCAGGCAGAGGCTTTGTATTTCCAAGCAGATACAACAGCTGAGTAGAAGGAAGTCTTGCACAAGCACCCATGAAAATACCCACAGGTGACTGAAGGCACAGGAGTGACTCCCATTCACTTCAAAGTCGAAGGAATTCAGTTCTGGAAGACCTTTTTGCTCCAGTGTGCTTGAGCAGTCATTTATGGATGTGCCATGTATTTCTGATAAGGACTCCCCATGCAGAAGCCACACACTGGATTTTATTGAGAAATTTGAACTTAACTTGCTTCACCTGAAGTTCCCACACATTTCTGGAGCAAAAACCATGCCTTCAGAGAAGAGGTTTGATTATGCCCTTCACACACAGCACTGCAGATCATAATCCTCTACCAGTCATAGATCTGTAATAGCTTCAGGCCTTCATAACCTTTCATGTCAGTGAAATGTGGAAAAGTGATACTAGTGCCAGCTTCCTGCCAGTGTCTATTCTTCAAGTTAAACACTGACCACTTGATTTATTTTCTCAATAATACAACTGCAATTTCCTTCAATCAGTTTATGAGAGGAAAGTATGGAAAACAGGAAGTAGCATTTACTTGGTGAAACATCTACACCTGGGAACTTCTATGCCAAAGCCACGCACTTGAACACAAACACTGTGCCCTAGACACAGAATAGTGACTTTGTGCACTTAAATTAAGGGTTAGGGTTTCAATCCTACATTTTTTTCCTGGACAGACTTTTCTAAATTAATTTCCTGGTTTTATCTTGTCTATTACCAGCTGATCTCATTAAATCTCCTACTGAAAGTACATTTTTAGTTGGATGGTTAAACTAAACAAACTAAAGTGACAGAATACCTAATTCTCTGTTGAAAATACAATAGATATTTCTGCTCAAATGTAAGAGATTTTCAGAAATTTTCAGGAACCAGAACCAGCTCCTAAGAAGCTTTGAAATCCAAGAATATGGAGATTTTCCAAGTGCAAGCAAATGATTTAACTGGCATTTACAGATTCCAAAACCATATCAACATTACTCCTTGGTATTTTCTTCCAATGCTACTCAAGTCAACTGAGTGATCTCAGAGAAAAAAAATACATTCTTCACATGATGTTTTAGACAAGGCTGTCTTGCTTTTGTTAGCCTGCAGCTTCTCAAGTCTCTCTGTAAACGCCTCTTCCTCTCAAAGATGTTCAACACTATAGTCACAAAGGAGGTTAGGGTCAAAACAAGCTATGACAGGCCCTCTTCCCTAAAAATTCAAACTTCAGTTTTACATCCACTGAAAGCAAAAGACATAGTTCATCTAACTCATGAAGAAAACAATTATTCTTTTTATATTGCACTTACCTTTAAGTCCTGCAAAATGCTTAATAGAACTGCAGCAAGAAAACCAAGTAAGACTTCATTCTTATAGGAGAAAACCCAACCCGACATACCCATTATAGCTTCTGTTGTTGCTCCTGACGGCAGCAAGATGGGGACGGCTGCCGTTCCAAATCTCTATTTCTAGCAGACTGTTTAAAAATAACCTAAACTCTGTCATACCCTTGATGCCTTGCAAATACTGGAGAGACAGGAGTCACATGTCCTTGCTATGATTTTGCCTGTGCTCCTGCAGCTTAGGGTTGCAGAGGGAAACTGAGAAATGGCTGTCCTGTAATTTTGCAGATTTAATGTTTCCTTTGTGAAAGCAGCAGTAAACACCAGCCTAAAAAAGCCAACCAGTATTCTTTTGAGTGGTTTCCATCTTGGAATTAGTCGTAAGTAGGATATTACAGAACTAATAATGTCAACTTACTTTCAATATCAGTTTAGAAAGTGCAAATGTTTGCTATGAAAAATGGGCAGTTCAACGTGCTTTAAGTGAAGCTACCCAAGAATTCTGGGAATATTCAAATATGACATTCTGATAAAGCTGTCAACTAATCATGAGCGATAAGCACTTGGAAGAACACATCTGCCATTCCTTACACTCCACACCTCTTTTAGGTCTTAATATAACCCCTCTACATCTTCAGTTTCCCAGACTGCCTCCCTCACTTTTATTTGAAAATTCATTACATTAACCTAAATGACAGTGTTATTCAAAAATACTGCTTTTTTTTTCATTAAATCATCAGGAATGTCGCAAATACAAAAGATTTAAGAAATATCTCTGACATACAAGAAAACCCTTTTTCTGTTTATGGCAAATTATTTTATTTTATAGAAGAAATACTTTCAAATAATACAAAAATGACACAATCATACAGAACTGTGACAAAAACAAGGGAGATGAATACTGAATATGATAACTCATTACCACATCAAGACAGAACTCATTATAGCAGTCAGAATCACAGACCCACAAGATACACCAACAACATCTCACAGCAGTCACAATTTAAAGACCTCCTGACAGAGAGACCACCAGACATTGCTCCTTGGTTATAGTCACAGAACAATCCAGGGTGGAGAAAAGGTCCCTACCCCAATCCCTGCTCAAAGCAGGCCTAATGTGACCAGGATGCTCTGGGCTATATCCAGTTAAGTCCCTATCCACACTATGGACAGAGTGCTCCACCTCTCTGGGCAACCCCTTCTAGTACCTGACCAGCCTCACAGGAACATGGTGTTGTCTCTTCTTAACACACAGCAAGCACTTCTGGTGCCACTGCGTGGTAACTTTGGATAAACACTACTGTGTGACAGCCTCCCCTGGAAATGCGAAACAAAATTCTGACTGACTGGTCTTTTAAAGTAATGAGCACTGAAAAGCTTGCTGGCCCTAGACTTTCATGCAAACACTACAAATTTCTCACATGATTTGGTTTTTATCTTCATAGTTTCTGAATAAAGTCTAGTTGTGCCCAAGGAACCCAATACACACCCATCAAAACTTACTGGCAAAACAGGCTTCAGGAAGAATAGCACAATAAATGCTAAATATACTTCAATTTCATATAAATTGCTATATGATTGCAACACTTGATGCCTGTAATGACTATAGGCCATATCAGGAAACAGGAAATACTACCTTAAATGTCTGTGTTAATTAACATTTATGCTTACAATCTTTTTTCCCCGTTACTTTTTGCCTCAGCGTGGATAAAGTAAAAGTAATTCAATTTCTCTTCCTGGTTTTCCTGACCTTTGACAAGATAACAGTCTAAGTTCTTGAAACTCACAAATCAAACTTACTTACAGGATATTTGAAAATATTCTGATAGGTCTGTTTGGATTTTGGCCCTTGTTGTTTTGATTTCCTGACAGAAAAATCTGAAACCAATTTGATCTTTAATTAAAAGCCAACATGATCTTTCTTCGGGGATATTCCAGTAATTTGCAAAGTCAGTCTTGTGTTGGGCACCTCTCTTTGCAGTAATGTATAATTAGAAAAATATGAGAAACTCTATTATAGTAGCTTAGTAAAGAAGTATTTTTACATACTTGCAGAATGCAAGGACAGAAAACTGGCATTCTCGGGAATTTAGGGTGACAGTCTTTCATTAAAACGGATGGTAACAAATACAATTTTTTCTTCCCATATTTTAGCTGGTCCAACTAGCAATCAAGTGAGCTGTACCTTCCCTAAATACACACCCTCCTCCTGGAAAGTGTCACTGTTCAACAGAACTTCCTTGCAGTAACCACAAAGCACATCCTTTAGGATGAACATGTGTTTAAGCACCCTTACTTAAAGCAGCTGCTTTCTGAAATCAGAACACGTGCTTTCCAGAATTAGATGAGAATCTGTAGAACTGTAGAAATTACTGTTATAATCCATTAGCAGGCTTTCCACACAGCTAGTGTACACTGCTCCTTTAATTCCCTTTTCATTAAACAGCTGAACAAAGACCTGTCACCCTTTTCCTTCCCCCGTTTAAACTGAGGCTCTAGTTAAGAATATGAAGATACTTTAGACTCAACAGAAATGAAAACAATCTATTAGTGCACAGTAAGAACATGCAAATGAATTCTGCAATGTTTAACATCACTTCTAATTAGTGTTAAACACATTGCAGGTGATAATATTTTGCTATAACACAGACAGTGCTAAAGAATACAATGTACATAATAAGCTACAGATAATAAAGCTGAAAAAAGTGACAATTTTAGAACATAGTATTTTCATTTCAGGTATCAGAAACAAAACCAGCTCAATGGTTCCATTCTACTGTATGACAAATACTGAGGAACAAAATTTCAGTCTTAAAATACATCTTAAAGTAGGTATTTTCCTTCAAGGAAAAAAGGCACTATAAATAAATTACACTACAGTGAATTTGCCTGAACTCACTTTGTTTCTGTCTTCCAGCCTTTAAGTCAAATAAAACAGCATAAAAACTGTACACGCTCTTAACAGGATAGTCGATCTTTTATAAAATAAGCTGTCTTCAGAGATGTCAGTTTCACAACAAGGAAAAACCAAGCCTTGTTGCAGTCGCTATTATAAAATATATATGTATATATATTTATATATATGTTTTTGTTTATGTTTACTTTTTTTAACTTTTTTTTATTTTTTACAAAACGTGTATATTAGCTTTTGCACAATTTTTTTTTAAAGAAACTTGTCTAATCTAAGAACTTCATTAAAATAAAAGCGATAAATACTTCATGTTTACAATGCAACATGTCATACATCATCAGCTGGCAGAGGAGGTATGTTAATCCTTGGTCTTGTAAAAAAAGCTATCTTCTCTCTGTGATAAAAACAAGAAAAAAAGGAGGTAAATAAAATTATGCCTATGTTCCCCCTCCTCCCCACAAGAACACTGTTTCCCTACTCTGGTCAATGGTTAGCATTTGTTATTTACGTACTAAATTGGTCTTTTATTTGAGTACAACAAACTTCCAAAAACTACTAAATCTCACTATATGCTTCTGGCAACATTCCATTTAATACAATTACTATTTTTGAAAACCTAGGTGGAAGCCTTATACTGAACTTCAGGTATTCAGTTAATTGTAAAAGGTTTCACAGGACAAGTTTTGTGATGCAAAGTACACCCTCGTACATTTTGCAAATAATGTCTACAAAAAAGGAGAAAAAGAGATGGCAACTCTGGAAACAGAGTCCAAAGAAAAGGCTTCTTGAAAGAAAATGCCAGCATTACTGAGTAATTTCTAGGAAGAGTGTGTTACTAGCAATTTATATGTATTACATTAAAGAGACTATTTACACCCACAAGCTTGAAGAACTGACATCATTTGGACTTCAAAGCACATAGGCTAAGTTGGAAGAATCACCTAAGCTATGCTTGCATTTGAAGTTTCTCTTTTTTTTAATGTCATGTATACTAAAACTGTAACACTGCAATTTTACTTTAGCTTTGGCTCTTTGCAGAACAAAGCATTCGAATAGAACTCCTGTCCAAATCCAGATACAGTTTAAAATTACTGGTTAATTACTTCTGATTAAAATTAAAAGACACACAAAATTTAAGCTAAATGTTTCAGAAAGCTCTAACCCAACTAATGAACTGTTGCTATGCTATTTCAGTACGCACCACCACTTACCTAAAAGTCTGCACCTGAATAGGTTCTTTCTGATTTTGCCCACGCAACTGGTATATCTCTTTTGATGCTTTCTTTAGCATCTTTTCAGCTGCTTGCTCTTGGTGATGTTCAAATTTGGTCTGTCTGGTCTGAAAACAAGAACATAAGGCTTAAAATGGGCATGTGAATAAATAAAACAAAAGCACATCCACAGTAAAAGAATGGATTTTTTTTTCCCCACTCACCACAGCAAAACCACACCAGTACATTGTCTGAAATAGCTGATCATCTAAGAACTACAAATGCAGAAGACTGAGTTGTTTCACTTACTAATGCTCTTCAGAAAGACATGTAATAAATTGACAAAATTTACTGCACATAGATCTGTCAAACAAGATCTTACTATAAATTTAAGCTCAGTTTTGTCTATGATAATCCAAGGACGATTTTGTCTGTTACGCAGTTTTGCCACCTTTTTCTATAACTTCTTTCTCCAAGAACAAGAAAAAAAAAATATCACATACTTATGGAACAATGCTTGTAAAAGAATAAATATCCAATCAGCTAAATTTCTTTTAAATACCAGAATAAAGAAAATTATTAAAATTCCAATAAAAATATCTAAACAAAACCAAATGAACAACAATTAAACAAAAATCCAAAACAAAACAGAAAGTGTCACTGGCAAACAGTACCATTATCCAAAAATTGCCCACAAATAAATACACAGTTCGGTAATAATTAATGTAACGATTTTTATTGTGCTAACTTCAAGAATATAAAAGAAACATTCCCTGTTTGAGATTCTTCAGTCAACTTATATAAATGAAGACATTTTGAAACAAGAAGTTTCTGAGCAAACTGAGTGCTTATGTCATATCACCATACCTGCCTTTCTGCTTCCTTCAACAAGTTTCGGAATCTCTCATCCCGAAGGACCCAGTGGGGTAAATCTGTCTGCCCTCTGAGCTGGGCATCTTCCAGGCGCTGTCTCAACTCTCTTAAAACACATATCTCCTCATTCAGCTGTCTCTGTCGAGTTCTGGATGCCTGGAGATCCAGCTCCAGGTCTAAGGATGTCCTTGCCATAAGTTCAGCCAAAGATGATCTGCAGGACTGTTGAGTTATTAGTTGTTATTATTATTTATTATATTAGTTATTCTAATAAAGTGCACAATTTATTACTTTCAACAGAGTTTACTGGTCTTTCTTTAGCTCTAGACCATACATTTGCTGTACTTACTTAACACAAAGTCTTTTCAACATGAAGTTTTGGAGATTATTTACATCCCCCAGAAAAGGCTACATTTCCCCAGAAAAGGTACAGAAAACCCCTACAGTTAAGTTTTCCAATTAATACTTTCTACTACTTCCTTTTACAGTTTCCTTTTGACTTACAAATATTTACCTAATGATGTTTATTGACTAGAAGTCCATGTTATGATGATAATTAAAGAAATGCAATCAAAAAACTCGGTGATATTGTGACATCAGAAAAATACTGTAATGAGCAAGACTCTTCTTCAAAGGCTTAATTCAGTAGTGGTTTTAAGACACAATCTGAATGAAAATGGGAAGCATGGCTGTAGGGAACCTGCCTACACCAGCAAGGCATTAACTTCTGCTGACCAGACTACATTTTATGTCATTTATATACACAACATTAATGCCTCACTGCCCTTCTCTGCCCACTTTGACAGCATGAGGGGTGGTGTGGGGGGAAAAAGGAGAGCTTAACCTATTCATTCCTGAAGACTTGGGTCTCAAATACTATTATTTGTTAGGCTGTATGGGAGGAGACATGCATGTCTTAATGTCACATTCACACACGCATCTCTGAATCTGCACCCTGCATCATAAACTAGATTTGAAAGATTTATCAAACTTTACATCTAAATCAATATAAATTCAGTCCCCATTAAACTAATTTTCATTTGCCACACTGTTTTCCCTCCTTTAAAATTGTTCACAACTTTATTTAACTTCTTTATGTCTACCTTTTAGGTTAAAAAGTCCAAAACATGCACCCTGTAATTACATTGTAGAAGTTTTGTAGATTTCCTAAAGGGATCAGAATGTACCTGCAGACATCTAAAGCTCTTAAGTATAAAAGTTCCATTTTTCTAGCATCTTCATGAAAGCTAAAGATCATTTTCTTAGGCATACCTGCTTATACCGTAGAGTCCGCCTTTCCAAGGTATTCCGGACAAAAGGGGACTTCCTTGGCAGGGTTGAACTGTCACTGTCACTGCGGTACAGCTAATTAGAAAAGACATTGAAAATAAAGGATGCTTGCTAGATCATCTTCATTAAGAAATTTGGGGTTTGGTTGGGTTTTTTGCCTTTGAAATTTCTTTTTAAATACACTGGAACTATCCTGTTTTAAGCAACAGATTTTTTCAGTTATTTATGATCATTTAGATATAACAGTGCTCATGTGGTAGCTACAATAATTCAAGAAAACTTGAATATTAAAATGGTAAGTTTCACCAACCATTCTACTAAATATCCAAGATAATCTAACTTAAAACAAAGAAGGAGAAAGGACTCAAAAGCAGTAATATTTCACCCTAAAACATTTAGTGTCATGGGTACAAACAGTGGTATCCCACTTTTTCCCGCATCTGATTTTAGAGTAAGTGGAGGCTAAGTGAACACAGAATTTAAAATGCATTTCCTGAATTTTCAAACTCAAACTCTTTGAAGCTTATGAAAGAATACAATCAAAGCCATGATAGTATTTCACCAATATTGCTTTGATCCTGCAATACCATGAGCCAACTGCTTTTAAGTCTTCTGCCACTGAATGCAGCAAACAATAAACGTGACCTTGAAAACTGCTGTGCTGGTCCTACATTACTTGCACCAGTGCACCCAGGAATCCCAAGTCCCACAGTAACAGGCACCTTATGACTGATACTCAAAGTCGTATGAATATTTATGCAACAACCCTAACATTAAGCATTCAGTGCCCTTTTTCAAACTTTTATATATGTGAAAATTAAACACAGCTTCTAAGCTAACTGTTTATACGCCTCATTAGATAGCATTGTAAAATCAGCCACCCTCACCTAACATCCAAGGCTGCCAGGGAAGAGTGTAATATCTAATTCATCATAGATTCTTAAATTTCAAATTAAATCCATCCAGGTAAAAATAGTCAGGGAAGCTCTTTGCCCTGCATTGTTTTAAGTTCAATTAAAGATTATTAATTATGTGTCTTATAAATGCAATGAAATCTTACCATGAAATTATCAAAAATATCTAATACACTTGTGTATGGAGACCCCTTCCCCCTCCTCCTTTTCAAGCTTTACTCACTCTGCAAACATATTGGCTTCGTGCTCCAGGCGAAAAGGTCTGGGAACGAACAATTGTGCTACTGCGAACAAAAGCAGAACCCCGTGGCCTGCGGCTGGTTCTCTCTTTTGGAAGAATAGCAACTTCTTCAGGAAACAGATCCTCAGTGTTAGTTTCCTTATCCACCTAAAATTACAACAAAAGAATTTTTTTTTATTTCTTCCTTATTTTCTCTCTCCTAGCAAAGACAATCAGGCATTTCAACAATATCAAAAGAAAACAACTTGCCCTGCTAGCTAGATTAAAATTTTAATGAGCACTGAGAGGATGAATCACCTGACTTTTGTAGAAGTTTTAAAACTAGGTCATTCAAAATTGTGAGGTTTCGGAAGCCTTTGCTGGAGCAGTAACAATTATGAGATGCAGCTGCAGAGCACAAGGACTGCATTCAGGATTGGCAATTGGGCATTACCCAAATTACCACCTGATCTCCAGCCTCAATAGAAGTAAACTGAATCACTTTTCAATGAGCAGTGACTCTGAAGCAAGTAACTACCTTAAAACTGGAGAAACTTAAATGAAGACAAGGAAGAAAAAAGGAACTGAAAGACTGTTCACACAATTATGCAAGAAAACCAAAATAATCAGAAAGACGGAAAACATAGGCTACTCTAACAAAGCTTCCAAACTTTTAGAAAATCACTCCTCAAAAAGAGGTGTGATCTTCCCTAAAGGCAACACAAACAAACTTATGTTCCTCTGCTTCAATGGAGGTCTGCCAATTTCAGCTTGTGAAAGATTTTTTTCAGTGTCTCTTATCTTGACTACAAAAGATTTTAAATACAGTAGTTTCAGCACAATTATTCCATGTTATTGTAACACTGAAATAGTAACTCAAGTCCTAAAATTTCTTTCTTCACGATTCCTTTCAAAACTCTTACAGAAACAAGGGCACTGGAATTTGACCATGATCTTTTCTGTTACAATTTCAGGTAAATGCAGAAATTGATACAATTGTCTATTTATAGATCAGAGAAAGACCACATTAAAAATAGTTTGCCTTTTGATATAAGAACCAAATTCTGTTCAGAAGCAAGTAGTAAGAAAACAAAAAAAACCCCAGCTCTGAAGAGTTAACAACTCAATAGCGATACAGCTCATACAGGGTTGCTAATGTCATCGTTGGTTCTTTTCTCTCCTGGCCAATTCAGACTCAAACTCCAGGCACAGCAGTAGCTCACTGTGCCAGGCAGGGGTGGCAGTTTTTGTGCTGCAGTGTCTTCTCTCATTACCTTTATTGGCGGAGGCTGCATTTTTCCAGAACCGTACTGGCCTGCTTGAGTTGCAAACAAGTGTCCAGCTAATGGATCCCCACAAAATGGCTCTGGATAAGGAGGACTAGTCTGGGTGCAATTACTGCATCCACTGTCAACAGATTCTGCTTGCCAACTCCTAAAGTCAGGACATCACAATAATTTCACAGGTGTTAAACAAAAACATGCAATTATGAATTACATTTACATATTACATTATCTAAGCCAGTTTATAATTTTAGAGTATTGTTTCTCCAATAAAAATACAGTCATTTCAACAGGAAAACACTGCACACTTGCATTTCTGCAAATGCAAATAAGCAAATAAATTTAATTAAAGAAAATTCACTTTCCCTTATTTTCTTAAAGCATTGTCTTTAAAACAATAACAAAAAGAACAACACGATTCATGTAACAAACCAGGAGTATCATTAAATTAAATTTAATTATTAAATTTCTACCTTAACCCTAATAATGTCTCCTGTCACCAGTAAGTTTTATTTACTTTTTCTTAATACAGGCCTGTTACAAATTCCAATTACAGTTGCCTCCCTAGCAAAGTCTCTGTTTGATATAATGTTTACCCACTCCCCAAATTCCCTAAATTCAACCAGCTACTCAAGTAAGGTTTCCTCCTGTTTGCAGATCATGACATAACAGAATTTTATACTTATAGCACTAACAAGGAGAAAATCTCAGAATAAAGGCCTGTTTTTCCTGCTTTATTTCAGACTATACCCATAGTGTAAATATCTTTGAGGAACTATTTGTTATTATTAATATTATTATTTTGATGAGGTATTTAAATCATTTTTACCTTTCTGATATGGCTTCTGCCTGATCTTCCTTTCTTTCCATCTCCAAGATTTCTTCCTCTGTGTACTCCAGTTTCACTCTCTCTTCTGCCAGTTCTCTCTCAACTGCTTCCAGCTGGGCAGTGGTCCTAGCTAACAGGGCTGTCACGGCATCCTGAAAGGTAAATTAGACTTTAATTAAAACTGTTTGAACAAACCAATGTACTTAATGTGTAGTATTCAGAGAAAAAATAAAAACAAAGCCATCATATATTCCTAAAAAAACAAAACAAAAAAACACACCACATCCAAAAAAAAAAAAAATCTATCTTGAATCTTAACAATCACAAGTATGTGGTGTTCAACTTGTCATAGAAACTGGGCAGATTTTACTTGACTGTGGAGCATCATCCAGCAAGTCAGGTCAAAAGAGACCTCTGGAGGTCTCCAGGTGTGATGTACTGCCCAAAGCAAGCAAGGCATCATGGTCAAGTCAGGCTGTCCAGAGCCCAGTAAAAGGCTGAAAACATTTCCAAGAATGGAAACTGCACAACCTTTCTTGACAACCTCTTCAAGTGCAGTGGCAGAAATTTTTAACGTGTTTTAGCTGGACTGGAAACATTCACATAAACATATACATGGTACTAATTCAAGCACCTGCACAGACATGATCTAGTTTTCAATTAGTCTTCTAAAATCTGGCTTCATGCCACAAGAATTAAGTTATCACTTCCTGTGATAACTTAAAACCTGCACCCAAGGTAAGAACACAATCACCCTGTCAGTCAAATAAAGTAAAAAAATTGCTTTTTTAGAGCCATACTGTTTTAACTGTAGTTACATTTCCAGAAGACTGAGGAATACTGTCTTCACATTGGTTTTTGGTCTTTGCTCTCTGGGGCTCTGAACCAGTGAAGATCTGAACAGGGTACCAGTGAAGCTGCATGTCACCAGAACTCTCTGCATCAGTCAGGTTTATCTGAGCAATGCCCTGTAAAACAAAAAAAGCATTGACCACAATAAGATCCATATACCCTGCAGGATAGACACCTTCTCCTTTAAAGAGTATTTTACTTACAGTATAAAAGTCCCACTTCACCAAGTACTACTGTCTCTTAAAAAGAGACAGTTCTGTTCTGTTGTGTCATGATGTCTAAGATTCTGAATTTCTTGCCTCTTCTTTACTACCAGAAAGAATTGGAGTAGACAGCAATTTTTTTAAAGTTGAAAAATAAAATTTGTATGACTGACATAGATACAACTGACACCTGATAGCTATTAATATTTTATTTTTAAAACCTTCCCAACTATGTATCTGATTGCTATATTAGCTTAAATTAACATCACTTTAATAATATTACTATAATTTGAGGAGCTTCTGAGATAACTGTATTCTGATACTCTTCCATTCTCTGGCCCTCAGAGACATTTTTCAAATGGAAATAAAAATGTTGTGTAAACAAATTCTTTTTTTCCCTGCCTATTTGTATCATTAAGTAGTCAAATGGGCTATAAAGCCATTTTTCTACTTTCCAGGCCATCCCTGCATCTCACAGATTCAGGTAAAAACAGTTTTAATGGAGGCTTTTCACTAAAAGTATTTCAAACTTTGAAGTAGCCCTACTCCATTACACAGGGCTCATGTGAGAAATTTCTCAGTGATGTTCACACAAATGAAAAACAGCTGTGATCAAATCCATGCTGCCTATTTTATTTGTGTTTTTCAAACAGTTCACAAGCTGGACCTACCAATGGTTTTATATCAGTCAGCCTTTAAGTACTGCTTTTTGTTTCTCTGGCTATCTATGCAACCTGTTAATTTTCACACTGATGAGCTACATGCTAAGAATGTTCTCTTTTGTATCACTGGAAAAGTCATGTAAAAATGGCTTTCATCCCTCACAAATCAAATAACTATATACAATGATTCTAACAACAAAGGCAGTAGGAAATGTAGAGAAAATCTGCATTCAACTTTAAGCAGGTAAAGAAACAGTTAATTAGAAAACAATAATAAAAAATCATTGCATTGTTTTTCCAAAACAAATGTTCCCTGGGGCTCTGTTTAAACAGGTGCATGAGAACAATGGAGAAAAGTTTTTGAGACTAACAAAATAATGCAACATGGGGATACAGCATGTTACTTAGAAAGTAATTTCATGACAGTGTATCAGAGGCTACAGAGATGCCTTTTCTTTCTTCTGTATAACATAGATGTCTCTAATTATCTACTTGCTCTGATGCCATGGAAGATATGTGTATCTAATACTCACACTTTTGCATCAGAGTTGGAAAATGCTTAAGACACACTGAGTTTATTTTAGGAGGTAGAGAGTAAAACTGTTTTCTTGCTAGCCTATGCTTCTTCCAGTACTGCTAACTCTTAAAGACACCTGACACTGCCCTAAATAGAATGCATTTATTAAGCAGAAAAGCAAGTCTGCCAGAGAAGCTGCCTCTACAAAGGGAATCAGTAATTCCTGAGTGATTGAATGCTAGTGAGTAGAAAATCACCATCAAACTCAATTAAGAATTATTAGTACTGAAAGAACTAATTAATATTTCATGTCCACCCCAAGATTTGAAGCTTACTCAAAAGGATGAAGAAACCAAGGTGTGTCTGCTAGAGCTAGATCACATTTGCTCTGATGAATTTGTTACCAACTTGGATGGTAGAACAGTAGAAGTATTTATAAATATCTCTGTGACATCTGACAGATATGTCTCTTTATGAAAAAACAACCAGGATTTAAAAATCATGCTTAAAATATGGGACAGATGTTCCAAAATTAAAACAAAAAATGCAAAAAAAAAAGTTACATTCAAGAAGAAATCAAATAAATTAAGACACAGGGAATAATTAGTCAGGGCTGTAAAAGATGAGAAACTGGAAGTGAAGCAGCAATGCTGGGTGATTGCAAGAAAGGCATTCTTTTATGTTTTAACATGAACTATATATGCTAATCCTGGAAAATAGCAATTCCCTTATCTCAACATTGACAAGGGCATCAGGGAAGAAATAAGCCAACCTAAGACAGAAAAAGATCTTTCAGCCATGCAAGGCATAAGAGTAAAAGGTTAAATAAATGGAAAGCCCACAAGTTAGTATATTTACTTCTTTATAACTGAATTGTTTCCCTGATTTTTTTTTTTCTTTTTTAAATTCCCTGTTAGGTACAAGTATTTATATAAATGAGGATAAAGTCCAGTCTGGCTTTTGAATTCATGGAAATATTATACTGGCTTAACCTAATTGAAAAGAAAGCGGTCATCAAGAATTTGAGAAATATATGCATTATAAAATAGATAGGAAAAACTGTAATCTCAGTGGAAGACATCTTGAAAGACAGAGCCCTTGTTGACAGCCACCATCACAGTAGTTCCAAAGAGAGGTTGCAGGTAGCAAATTATTTCTCAATTTGAGAAAATGCTCATTCTCAAATTACAGCTGAAGAGAACAATGATCATTAATGTTTAAATACTTCAATGCACCTATCTTAAGAAACTGGCAATATTTCTCTATTTTTGAGTAGTACTGTTAAATAACCTTAAACTATGTTACAGTTACTGTTGACAAAGATACTTCTGACATAACCAAATTAAGACCATGAAAGAAAAAAAACCCCACCAAGATAACCTGAAGACCTTTTTTTTTTTTGGCAACTCAGTAACAGCAGTTAGAATTGTCTCAATAGAAAGCTACATTACACTTAAACAGCTATTTAGCTTCCCAGAGGAACAGGATATAGCAGTATAAAGCATTTTACAACAATTAAATAAAAGTCTGTTCTTGAGATGCTTTCTCTTTAATTACATTGTAGACAAAAATTCTTACTACAGACAAGACCTGGGGTCCATTTCTAGCAACATTAAGACCTCTGTTTATGAAAGATGCTACATTTAAAGATGCATTAACAAACAAGCATTCTTGACCAGATTTGCTCAAATAAACACCTCTTGTCCACAGCCCAGCATAACAGTGAGATGCCTATACCTCTTCTTTGATAGGCTTTAAAATTTTTTTCACCAACCCCTACTGCAAAGACAGCCCACTCACTTCCAAACAGCTCCAAGGCAGATTTAGTTATGCATATTTGTATGTGACAATAGCTAAATGAAGCTAACATTTAACACACCTGAAGTTAGCACATGATACCTCAATCAATTTAAAGTAAAAGGCTGAGGTAACAGAACTGTTCCAGGGCCACTACCATCCTTCAACAAAGTTAAGACTGATATAATAGTAGTCCGCTTCACCCAATGTTATATAGTAACAAGGGGTCTGTATTTTTTAATTTTTTTAATAGGAACCAATTTGAATGGTACAGATTCCTCACAAAGGCATTATAGTATCATGCAGAAACCTAAGCCTTGAGCAATCTATAGTGTAAAAGCTCTCGGACAAAGTCTTCTTTAACATCTCACCTCTTTATTTACAAAACTACACATATATGTGAACAGAAAGACTAACATGTAACTCTATCAGAACTTCTTATGGAAAAGTTAGGTCTTTACATTCTCTTTTTAATCTTAAAAAAAATATATCCTCAGGTAACTTTAGTTTCTCGTATCACATGGCTTTTAAGAAACAACCACTTACCAATAGTTCTTCTTGTTGCTGATGATCAACTGAACAGATATACAACTGCAGTGATTTTAATTTCAAAACACTTGAGTGCACGGGTATTCGGAACACTTCATTAAATATTAACGGCGTTTGGAATTCCAAAGCTCTTGAGCAGTAAGTGGTTGGTGTGCCTGACTCAAGTGGTGGCAAATAAACTCTCACATGACTGGGAACAGCAAAACAGACAAACAACACAGTTCAGACAAAGAAAGCCATTTTCTATTTCTCAAATATCAAGCTAAAAACATCAGCGTAACTTCTACATTAAGAATCTGCCTTGAGATATCCTCATCACCAGTGTCTACACTTTGCATTCTAACACAGAAGATCTGCAAATCTGATCTCAAAATGCTGTATTTTTTTAACTAAAACTTTTTTTTTTTTAACTTGGTGCTTAAGCAGAGGCACTAAGTGGCACTTGAGCTGCCCTGAGGTATTCAAGGCATCTAAAACAAGCTAGCAATTATAAGAGGATAGGAGAGCTACACAGAGCCTCTCTCTGAGCAGCAGCAGCTGGAGGCCAGGTGCTATGCTATGCTATTTCAAATGGAAACACATGCCTATGTTTAGGCAATTGAATTGTCCCAAAAGTGTCACCGATCCATTTCTTTCTTCCATTCACTAAGCAACCTTTTCCCCCCATAAGAAATTAAGACATTCAGATGGCAAAAGAAATCTGCAGTCACTGCATCTATCTACAGTCTCAAAAGACGAATTTAAATATGTGGTACCATATCATTTAAGACTCCAAGCCAAAAACAAAATCAACAACCATTTTCATCTGACAGCACAAGCAGCAAAGCTACTTAGAGAACTGTTTCCACGTTCTCCCTGTCCTGACTGCTTGCCAAGCCCCTGCAATATCCTATTCCTTTCCTCATGCCAGCAAACCGTTTCATGCGACTGTATTGTGACCCAGATTAGAAAATTTATCTGGGTTAAAAAGCTAACCTAGCTAAAAACCCGCAAAGACTTCAGGATTAAAAAAACCCATTGCAGCTCAGAGGTTCACTCAAGTTGACTACATGGCTGCAGGAACTCTTAAGCCACCACCAAAGAGGGGCAGCTCCTTATGGTGGAACTGCAGCACACTGAACTGTGGAACATCAGTTAAACACATTCTCATGCTGTAAAAAGGCAGAGATCCAGCTCCTCTGCTGCTGCAGGCAAGCTTCCCCACAGCTGGCACAGCACTTGATTCAATCAATGTACAGTTACACAGAGGAGTTTATTGAACTTGATAAAAGCTTGTTCTGCTTTTTGGTAACAGAAACTTACTTTTTGACTAAAGCAATCAATTCTCCCTGCAGCAATGCAATTTCTTGATTCCAGCAAAGGGAGGGTTGAGAAGGATGAAGAACAGAACTACATTTTGCGTAATTTAGATGCCATGATGACTATGTCCAACAAACTCTCTGGGCCAATCTTTTTCTTTGGCGACTCTACTTTACTACCTTCTTTACCTGACACTTATTTTTTCTGATGACAAGGAAACACGGCTGAGTAATACACAATACTCACATTTTTCCCTATCATGTGCCCTTGCACTCACACCAAAACAGAGCAAAAAACCAACTAATATACTGACCTACATTAAGAATTTCCACTGCAGTTTTGCAGAGTTAGATTGGTTAAGTTCTCATCAAAGAACAATTCATTGAAGGAGATGTGTTTCAATTTAATATCACCAAATTACTTATTTTGCAATATAATGATTGTTATCATACCTTCATTCCAGTTTTCAAACAATCTCTCCTTAGAGATAAAGATCAACAAGTTTCACATGTTGAATTTCTTTAAAATATGCTAAGATACATATCTCTACCTAAAGCAGTATTTTATGACAACACTGATTATTTAAGAAACATTTATTAGAATAAACTATGTTCCATATCTGATACAAAATTTGAAAAATTAACCAGCTGTCAGAGGTTAAAAAACTCAAACTTTTGTACTGATTCTCAGCTAGTACTTGTGTTAATATTATCTTCATAAGGTCTGGATATTCAAGGAGAGATGTACAGGCCACAAAAGTCTGAAGATCCTTTGTTGTTGTTTGCATTTTTTCTGGTATGGTTTTCTTTCTTAAAGATAAAAGGCAAGGTATATCTCTTACTGATTAATATAGATGCTGCCACAGGAAGTGAGAAAATACACTAAGCTTACCGTGGCGTATCACAGGTATTTTTGAATTGACTTTCCTCTGCCTAACACTTGTTACCTGAACATCGTGACATAAGTTCCATAAAAGGGATAGCTTTGTGACCATAAAATTAACAATTTCCTCATGGAAATGAAGACATACCATATTCTCTAGAAATGGCTTAAAATTGAATGAAACCAAATAAATCTACAGTATTTACAACTGCAACATAAAACAAGCAATGATCAGACTCTGGGTGAAATTTAAGCTTACATTTTGCAGTTTTCTTTAACAACTAGACTAGAAAAGCTCTTCAGCTGTAATACATGGACTAGCAGACATTCGCTTCCACTGTCATGCCTGGAAAATAAATTTTTTGTGTTAGTCAAATCACTGATACTTTGCTTAAAAATGGAAGATGAAGACTAAACAGATTTAAAGAATGTAAAAGCACATTTTGTTAAACAAATTTCTTGCACAAATCAGTTTCAATCAAAAGCATTAGCTATAGCAGCAAAGTTAATAGAAATAAGTGAATTAAATATTATTCAGCTTGAAAATAGCAACTAGTCTTCCTATGCCTCTTGACAGCAGACTTTTTTTCTATTTTATCAAGTACATTCCTTAAACAGTTACACCATATGCATTTGTGTGCATGCATGTGTAGACAAATCCATCTGCATTAATTTCATGGGCTACTGAAAACAAATTTAAAAATACTATTTTTTCACATCAGCATGAATTTTGAAATGCCGCTAACAAACGTGTTTGATATTTCAAAAACTTCCAATCTTAGGAATTTGTTTCCAAGAGGCAAAGAGGATTCTGGAGGGCTAAGATACGATATCCTGTCTTGCATGACAATAATCTGCCTTTCCCCAGGCTACTCCCACTACCAACAACAGCATGTCATAGGCACAGGACTTCAAAGATGTATTGTAAAGCTGGGACTGTACTGTATTTGTGTCTCTTCACCTATGATTTTCGTAAGGTAATCCTCATTTATCTGGCATAAAATGATCATGCTTACAGAGACATATCCCTACACCCACACCCACATTAATGGCCCAGACAGTGAAAATAAATGCTACTGAAAGAAGTAATGAAGGCCCTTTTATCAGTCAGCATTGAAAGACACTGAATGAACTTTAGTTAAGGCACATCCCTAACACAAAGTGGCACTAATCTGTACATCCACTGAACTTTGGCTGTCAGTTCAGAAACTTCTTAAAAATATCGACTGTGATTCAGTTTTTTAAAAAGTTGAAAATCATAAGCAAGAAAAGTAGTGAGCAAGTCCTATAGAGTTGATAGAGAAAAAGAGGAGTAATTACTCACAGAAATCCAACATATATTTGTGGTTCCTCATTACTGGCAGCATCACCATAAACAGGCTCTTCCAGATCTTCATTCCTGCAGGAACAGAAAGTACTGTAAACTACATAGTGACCTAAGCTGCTAAATGATGAACTAACATTTACTCTGTGATTTGTGAATATAAGCAATTATTTGGCAATACAAAAGGGACTGGTAATATAGAAGGAATTGGAACATCTATATAAAAACATACAGTAGTAGTAATTCACAATTGTAAAAATTGAGGTTTTAGAATTACTCTCTCAAGATATTTAGGTTATTTTAGTATTTGTCTTCCATTTCTCCTTAGCATCCTCCAAACCTTATCATCTTCCCAGTTACTGCTTCCTGTGTTAAAACAATTGTATTAAGTAACATGTCTTTCTACATCCTTCAATCACTTGGTGAACCCACATATTTTTAGGTCTTTGGCAGTTCATATGTTTCCTCCTTGCAGTAATACTTTTATCACATGATACTCAGAATTGTAAGTCACACTCTGTATAATTATATTTTGTTATAGATGGTTGAAATATAATTAATGATTTATGACTAGCAGGATGAGAAAACTATCTTTCAAGGGAGATACAATGTTAAAATATCAGAATAAAGCAAAAGGGACTTGGCACTTGAAGATGACAGTGGACTGCATGCAAAAAGCTTCTTTCCTATAAAACATGCAATCTAGTAGTTTTATGTTACTAATAACTAGCAAATTTGAAAGCCTACACATAAATTCATAACTAATTCTTTTGGGCTGTTTAGCAGAACAGGAGTATTTCCAGCTTACTATGCATTTATACACCTGACCTTTTGCTTAAAGCTTCAAACACGCCACTGTCACTAGCCAGTGAATGATCTGAGAGACATGCTGAAACTCGCCTGGCTCTCCTCTCCGATCTTCTACCACTGTCTCCTCGCAGAGTTACAGCTGCCATGGAGAAAAAAGTGAGAACAACATCAGCTCAAGGCAACTTCTTCAAAATTAAACAAGAAACATGTATTATATCATAGCTAGCAGCAAAACAGCACAAATGCAGTTCATTGACTTTTATTCTAACTTACAAGTTAAAAGCCTAGAATAGGACTGACCAGAGATTTTCTGTGGTAGAATTAAGGAAGGAAGTTTGTGGCTAATTTGCTCTGTGACAAGACAAAGTATAAACCGATTGCATTGTTATTAAATGTTTTTCTGGTAGAGTAATTCCTTCCTAAAGGAAGACTTACATTAATTCACATATGTACACATGATATCCTAAGCTTTTCAGATTTACCTACTGAATATACAATAGGTTGAAAACAAACACAGAGGCTAATTCTTTTTTAAAGTTATCTGATAACACAATGTGAGGTTTTGTTCTCATTTGTTTCCTAATACAAACTCTAAAAGCATACTGTTTATACCATCACATAATAGCAGCTTTTATTTACAGTCTGAGAGGCATTATCAAAAAGAACCAGTGTTTTCCAGCTCACTCAGACCACTGTTATTTTTCAAATTCTTGGTGAATTACTTTGAAAACTGATTTGGGAAGGAGGAAGCAATATTCAACCTCCTTTGCCACTCTTCTCCAAATCACCAGCCACACAATAAATAGCAACTCAGCAATCACTTTCATGTTTTAAGTGTACCAACAAAATTATGTTATGCTCTGGGTTTTGCACAGGCAAGTAGGTATTGCAGCTACTGATCCTTCAAAGTACGTGCACAAGCAGTAACATTCAAAAATTGCATAGGAAAGGCTTCAACACTTCAACCACAGCTCCTAACTTGAGGCTGTTTTCCTTTGAGTCCTAGAGAAAACCATTGAACAGACTGGTGAAGTGCAGTTTGTTCACTGTGTGGGGAAGAACTTTTACCCTCTTTTGCTTAAGGTTCAATGACTGTCTTCAAAGCAGGAAAGCAATGGCAAAGAGATGGCACCTCAAAAGTGGGGAAAGCATTTTGTTTGCTTCTGCTCATGCTTACAGACTTAAGACAGCATGGAAGGATTGACAGTTTCAGCAGAGTGACAGTAGCACAATGCATGGGAGACAAGCAGCACCAGCTGACATTTACAGCTTACAGCCCAAACTAAGGATGAAGCATGTCTTACTCAAAGTAACAACTTGTTAAGTACCTCTGTTGCACATTATCATAAGGCATCCAAATTTATTTCTACACCTACTCAATAAGTTTCCTTCTGCAGAATACCAGCCACAACCTGCAGAACCCAGATGAGATACAGTGCACAGAACCCACCTCATCTCCCACCCAAGCACCATCAGGACAGGACAGCAGGAGAGGAGAACTTTATAGAAGTCTTCCAGATCAACACAACCACGCTGCTGCTATCAACAGAAGGATCTAGCTACGGTCAGCTATAACCCACTGGGGAACTGGCAGAGAAGGTGCACCAAGCCCAGCAGATTCTGTGCTAGCCCAACATTCCTGTTACCAGGCCACTAACAGCACAATATTACCAAAGGTGTTACAAAAATCACCCAGTCCTGTTGGGACCTAAAATTCCTATGTATCAGCAGAATCAGTTCTGTCATTTGGATTCATAAGTAGCCTATGGACCCCTCCTCCAGATTCAATGAAGGATTTAGTCATCTTTAGGAAATTTATTTGCTGGCTAGGAACAGCCCAATCTGCACTTGTCTCTGCACCCTAAAAAAGACCCACCACTTCTCCCCATCTCCAGTTACAGCATCCCACCCTTCTTGTACATCACACATTGCGCAGTGCTATTCATGACATCATCACCACAAATGAGAGCCAAGTTCAAGTGAGCATACAGAAAGCAAAAATTTCTATTTGAACCACATTCTCCTCTGTATCACTTGTACAAAAGTGCTGGGTTGGTGGGTTGTTTTGATTGGGTTTTTTTGTTTGCTTGGTTGGTTTGGTTTTTTTCCTTCTTTTAATTTTTTTTAAAGGACTTTTGATTCAGTAAGCCTGCCTCACTGTCTGGTATTTATGGAGAATATTTTGTCACTGGTAGTTATGAAGAATCAAAACTAGCAATCTGTAGATACAGCTCCATATTAAAGTTTCTCAAAAATTTTACATCACTGGAAAGAGGCTGAACTTCATGAAAGTGTGCAATTTGTTTTTAAAAGTGCATCTGTAATTTCTGTACTAATTTCAACAAGTTACACTAGGATGACTTCTTTTCCTAGGTAAGCCCTTGGCTCACTCCCTATGTGAACACTTTGTATAAATGTAGCAGAGGAAGGATCTTGTGGGCTCTGTCCTTGGGAGGCTGATGTTCCCAGTTTGTCTGGAAGGAAAAGATAGTCTCAACCACCAATATAATAAAACGAAAAACTGACACACTACAACAATGTTGTAACTTGACAGTGATTTGCTCACTGTCTTCAGGCCACAGAAGCATTCAATTCTGGACAACTGCAGCAAATTTGGGAGAGATGCAAATACCGGAATATACACTTGGTGGGGGGGTAAAAAAACAGCAGGAAAAATTGGTCAAGATCAAGGACACACAAAATTCTGGTTTAAGAAAAAAGTTTAGCACACGTTACAGAATTTGCAATGCTGGAAGCTAAGGAACTGTTTGAATGGTGAAATGGTCTCTAAAACAGACCATTACCTTCCATTTTCTGATTTAAATAACAAAATCATTAAAGAACATACATGATTTTCCAGAACTACTGGGTGCCAAAGTTTGATAAATATAAGACAGCCCTGAATGAAAAAACATTCTCATTGTCATTAGTTGAAAAAGTGAACTTCAAAGGAAATTTTGCTGTCCAAACCTTCATTTGCTAAAAAAAAATCACATAAATCTAAAGCACAAGCTTAGGTGACTACAAATACTGCATGTCAGCTCAAAATGCGCTAATAAAAGAGTAGAACACTCTCATAAAAACTAATAAGAGACAAAAACAGACCTTACCTACCCATAATGCTGTCAGGCATTACTATTATATAATAAAGCTGAAGGTCAAAGAACGCTTTCCCCAGGAGTTTAACTACAGCTGTGAATGTGTTGTTTAGTTGACATAGCAAAAAACTTAAGTATGCCATAACAATTAAACAGTACAGCAAAATGTCAAACAAAACCAAATGTAGCAGAATCTCCTGTTTCTTCTCATGCAACTCCAAAAAAAAAAAACAAACAACCAAAAACAAAACAACCCACCCCAAACCAAAACAACCAACACATCACACAGAAAAACACACAATGAGAAATTTCAGGTTCACTTACAGTGAATTTTTCTGTTGTGCCGCATGAGAAACAAGACAGAAAGCATATAGTGATAAATCACCCTTTAGATCTCTGACAATATTTTATAAACAAGAGATTATTTAAGCATTAAAAGAAATTTAGCATTTGAAAGATTTAGTATATAGAAGAGATAGTGAAGGTATTCAAGACCAATATTTTATTAACATGCTTCCTCCCACTCCCATCTTTATAATATGATGGACTTCACTTTTCAAGTATATTCCCTCCATTCACACATGAAAACTTATTTCACAATGTGACCCTGTGACAGATGCAGAACAATAAAGCAGGAGATCAGCAACTGAACATCAAAACTGCAGTTCCTGAAGAACCCCTTGAACTTGCTCAAGTGCTGCATCACTGCAAAGTTCATGCAGTTTATTCAGTGTTAACCCTGCCACCCCCCATTACTTGCAAATTACTGAAATTACCTCATGGTCTATCTAGTGAAGGACCAGGCAAAGAACTGCTGTTTTTGTAGCATAGCATTCTGCTGCCAGGCCATCGGGTGGCAGCAGCAGGGCACACTGCATGGTACTTCGGAGAAACCCAAAACACCCAGCATCTGTGAGCTCCCAGCTCTGGCATACAAGCTGGATGCTCCATCCAATTCTTCCAGGAAAAGAGCACAAAACCAAAATTCCTTCAAAACTTCCAACTGCTACTTGCAAACAACTGCATTACAATTCCAAACCACCAGCTAGTGAGTGTGGAACTCACAGTAGACAAAAATCAGAAAAGTTAATTTTTTTTTTAATTGTTTCCAAATGCAAATATATAAAAATTAAAAAAGTCTCAAAAGTAGGCAGCCTGGCTACCTTTTAACCATGCATTCTTCCTCAAAAAGCAACACAAAATATTCTGTTGTACAAAAGCCACAACCTCTGGACTAGGAGCTGGACACAGCAGCACTGACAACAGGTTAAGCACAGAGGCTTTCAGACAAATGTGAAATGTGTAGAAATACAGCAGAAAACTGAGAAAAGGAAAATCAAAGCAGGAAGCTGCCCCTCATCCTGTATTGCTGCCTAGGCCCTCACACTAGGCCTTCATTTCTAGGAAACACATACAAGCTATAAATGAACTACTTAGATATTTTCACTTACCACAATGGGTGAAGACATGCTGTGGTCTGATTTGAGGTTTAAAGAAAGCCTCAGGAAGCCTCTTCACAGCACTAATTTAAGCACAAGTTTTCATGCTGGTCTCTGGAATTATGTTTATTTTGGTCTGAAAGCTACAATATGGGCACTAGAAATGTTTGCAGCTAGTAAAAGTAAATTCTGCTGCAGTATCTTCTGGCAGTACTAACTGCATTAAGGAAAGTAGGCAACTCTAGACTCAAATGGTTTTGAACAATACAGGCTTTTTAGCACTGTGGCAATGTTTTCTTTTTTTTTTTAAATTAAAACCTGAAAGGTTTTCTTTAAATACCATCAATGTTCCTTTGTATTATCACATGAAAATAAGATTTAGGTGGGATAATATGATCCATTCTCTGGTTATAGTTCATATTATTCCTGATGTCACGAGTCCTGAATGCAACGTTCTACACAAAGTTAATACAGAATTCTGGGTATAGAAATGGGATGGGATTCACAAAATTTAATATTAAACTAAACACTAGAAGTCCTTCTCTACTAGTATAATTTTTATTTTGAAAAATGAGCAAGTCAACAAACAAAAATGTTACCATGATTATATTTTTGATATTAAGAGCAGTTCTTCATTTGGATGGTCAAAACAGGAAAATAAATTTGTCACGTTCCTGAATGTATTATAAGCTCAGGCTTTTAATTTTGTTTCAGTGTTTCAAAAGTGTTCTGTTTTCTCTTTTGATTCCTCTAATTTATGTTTCTCAAGTGCCAAGCTTCAGAAGCTTCTGCCAAGGCAAGCTAAATCAAGTCCATCAATCTGACAGTCCAGTGGGAAAGGAAAACTCAACAGTGTGTGTGCTGTGCTAACTGCACCCATCACCACTCTGTCACCATTAGAGCACACACAGGTGCTCAGAAGCAACCAGCCAAGCAGATACACAACATCTTGCACATCCCCTACAAAAGATGCTCCTTTGCTGATGAAGCACCTACTCATGAGTGCACCATGCACTTATGAAGTCACGTCACTGTGGCTTCTGCTCCATCACAGAACATGGACGAGGAAACCTGGGCTGGAGTGTGTACAAATTCACTACATAGCCAGCCTTCAAGCACTGTCAGAAGCATCATCCCATGTTTTGTGTTTGGTTTTTTTTGTATGGGATAGCTGCTGATTATCTCCTATCTCTCCTGGGCTTGTGTTGCTTTTCATTATCATATATATATATACATACATATATATATTTATAAATATAAAGGCAACATCAGCACAAAAGGTGGCCTCAGAAGTAACTAACCCATACTTTTTCTTACTAATACTTTACTCATTTTTGCTAGGTCTTTAATAGGCTACACTCCAATGAAAGTAAATATTCCATTCCCTTTCTTCCAGTCAATTCACCACTGTTTTAAGATCTATTGACAAGGATTTCTCTATTCTTTCACCTCTTTGACATAAAACTAGAGTATGGGTTTGGGGGATTTTCCTGTGTTTTGGTCAGGCTTTTAACAGGTAACACCTATCATGCAATTTTTATCTGATGGTAGTAAAATAAGCCTAATGCAGGAACAATCTCTACTGTGCTAGCATGCTTAGGTCTGTGTGACATTTTCTAAAACAATGTGACAAAATAATAATATCCATAAACTCACCTCCACCAGTTTGGACAGCAGTCAGGTGTGGTCCCATTTCTCGCAGCCCTTCATTGTCCAGAGGGTAAGCAGATGTCTGAGATGAGCTCGTGCCTTGTGCATCGTCATCACCCAAGGCTGTGGTCTGAGCCCTGAGCATTTCCAGGGCTCCTATGCCTGCCATCTCCTCAAAACCTTCTGACATCTGAGCCAACGGAGAATCTCGTGATGCAGAGAGAAACGGGGTGTCCAGAGGTGAGCTTGGAGGGGACAATGATGACAAGGAGGACCGCGATGACAGGGATGCCAAGGACTGCGGGGTATCCAGAGACCTCCGCTGCTTATTGAAATTTGAGTGTCCAATGGCATCAGCATACGGCACATCCTTTGTGAGAGACTCGAAGGGAATTATGTCAAAGCGCAAATGCTGCCCGTAGTCTGTAACGCTGTCTGATTTGTCGTACTGGGGAAGGCCATAGATGTCCGTGAAGCTGACTGAGCTGAGGGAGCCTCTGCTGGAGGCCAAGGATCCTCGACTGGAGGCCAGGGATCCCCTGCTGCTGCCAGAGGACATGGTGAGAGTGCTAGCTGACAGACTGTGGCATGCAAAGAAAGAGAAAACATAAAAATGTCCTTTCAAACATAACCAGAATTACCAATGCAGACATTAAAACACTAATCCAGATAACACAAGCAATTTTACATGTATTCAGTATGGTGACATGGAAAGATGATTTGCCATTTTGAAGTCTAGCTCAGGTCTCTTGCCCTCATCTCAAGCACAGCCATGACTGAAGCAGTACAAGTGACAACTAGATAAGGGCCAAGTACCTGAAGACAACAGTCCAACAGGATGAGCCTACTCTTTCCTCCAACATTTAAACAACTGTAATTTGGCATAAAAGAGGCCAGAGCAGGCTCTAGCTCAGCAAACTCATTGTAAAGCCAGGAAGGATAGATTACCATGATCCAGCTCAAATTTATATTAATGACTGGTCATAAACAATCCAGGGACAAGAAGTGCAAGGGGATTTGCAAAGTCCTAACAACCTGCTGCTTAAGCCTCACTCTCACACGTTTTTCCAAAGCAAAATAAAAAGACTTTAGGATGAATCCTATCCCACTTCCTTTTACCACTCTCAGTTGAGGGGGAGAAGAATATTAGTGCCAGAGAGATGAAGTGAGACAGGAACTCAGCAGGAACTGAGCTTTTGATGCTGCTGTGGTGTTAAACTGAGGAATCCCCAAGAGCTGCATCTCAAAAAGCAGCTGTGTGAATATGCAAAACATTCTAGACTTCGGTGTGGGTCTTAGCACATTCTCATATTTAAATAGCAAAACTTTGTCATCTTATCAGGGATCAAAACCCCCTGCATTTCAAGGTATCAGAATATTAAGAACTCACAGAACTTAAAATGCTATTTGCCCACAGTAAAACTGTAACAATATTACAACAGATTTTAAGAACTAATCTCCCTTTCAGAAAGTAAGGTAACATAAAATTCCCAGATACACTTAATAATGTAGCCCAAATAGCCATTCCTAATATTATTTATACAACTCCAACCAAATCATCACACTCCACAGAGCAAAGTGTAGTGAAATGTAGTGAAAAATTAATTTACTTGGCATACATACGGAAGTATAAAAGGATAAACTTCATACATTATTAATATTCTTCTCTGCTGTAGTTACTTCAAAACCTACTGGTTTTATGTAACTTACCTTTTTAACTGGGAGTGTAAATATGAGGTTAAACGCGTAGCTTCTTCTAGTTGCATAAGCAAACAATTTCTCTTCTCCTGTAACAGTATCCTATAATTCAACACATACATATTACTATTTTCTTCATCACAGTAGCGTTCAAAAAGTGCTAGGAGCTTCCCAAATGTGGAAAAAATCAATGCACTGAAGTTTGGAATATTAAAAAAAGTTGCAGTGTTTCATGAAAAGTTTGAACTTCTGCTGCTCATATGCAGCAATAGTAATTCCAGCAAGAACACAAGAACCAAGACTCCAGGAGAATTCCCAGACAAGAAAACTGAAGTAACAAAAAGAAAACTGAAGTAACTGAAGCACAAGGTAAGGGTCATGATGCTGAAAATACAATGCAGCAATTAGCAAAGTCATAAAAAGTCCCAGGTAAAAATATCAGACTCTACAAGATTTTTGTTTTCTCCCTTACATCAACTTGATTCTGCTATTAAAATACTATGCCCTTCCACCTCGTCACCAAAAAAATATTCCAAGACAATTAATGTAAAATTTCAAAGATACAAAGAAAATTTTTGAAGGACTTCTGTTAACCATAACCACCAATATATAATTTAAGCTCTTATTCTATGTGTTTTATGTTTTGTGTTTAACATTTATCATTACATTTAAGCAGGGAATGAGAAAAATCTCATGCTGCAACTTATTTTTTGCCCATTCTAGTAACAAGCAGCTGAATTACTCATACCACTGCCACAACACAAATGGAATGTAACTTTAATGCCATCAATTTCATACACCTATAAGATATCTTAAATTCAGTATTCTGACATTGTTAGAATTTCAAATAATAAATTTTATCTACTATTTACTCTTTTTCTGGATCCAGAATTATATTCCTGATGCTTTGTTTTTCCAAGTCCAAGCACTGAACTTCAAGATAATACCAGGGTAGTATTCTGGTTTGTGTTGTACATTTTATACATCCAGGAAAGTTACAGCTTCAGCCCTACATCACAATGGAAATGGAGATACTGATGGTTTGGAGAAAGCAGATTAGAGTTATTACACTGCCTCAGACCTTCCTCAGCTGCAAAGACAGCTGTTAAGAGTTCAACATGGTAATGAACAGGACTTAAAAATCAACAGAAAGGGAGTTCTCCTGGATAAAACAGGAGTTCTCAGCCTGTTCTCCTGCCTTTGTGCACCCCAGGCCAGATTAACCTGTGGCACAAGGAAGGCTGCAGGTCAGCTATGCAAACTTACACCACATAGACACTGCATGCAGGAACCAAAAGAAAAGGACAAATAGATACAAGAAACATAACTGATTCAAAAGCTTGCAGGGGAAAGCAGAGATTTCACACCATCTACTGTAAAAAAACAAGGTTAGGAACCTACACTCCACAGTGACAGAAGCTGCAGGGAAGGTACCTGTGCTAAAAAGTAAGAAATGCCTCCAACTAAGACTATCGGCCTTAACAAAAACACTACAACAAAAAACAACAAAACCCCCACCTCTATCATACAGATTTGAAGTTCATTTTGATCTGCACATAACTCACTGCTTTTAAAACTCAGTAACAAAAAAGGAATGTTAATTATTTAAGAAAGAAAAACCTTTGTATTTCACAATTAGAACAAAGTGGAAATACAAAAGCAGAATTAGAATAGGAATATTTTTGGTTATTTCTGAATCTAAAACAAACAACAGAAAATCAGGCAACTAATAGTTAAGCTTCCTTCAAATCTGCTATACAAAAACAGAGTACCCATTACTATTATTCTAACTTCTGCTCAACTTTCTGCTAGCATTTAAAATATCAAGTACCCCAGTGGAATGCTGGCTTCGACAGCATGAACTCCATGGAAAAATAGCTTGGCCTTCTTGCCAACACAGTATGCACTACCTAACATGAGAGCCCAAAAACAACAAATAAAACTTACTACACGACAGAGTAAAGTGGACTCCTTTTTCTGTCAGTTTAAGCTCTAAAGCCAATGTCACAACATAGCAAAAATTGCAAAACATATTACACTGATCTGTAGGCTAGCTGTGAATTTTCTGTTTATTGACTGAATTTACTGTCTGAATTAAGCATTTGCAAAGGAACTGACTAGTCAAAATCTGTATATGGAAAGCACTTCCAAATATTTTTCAAGTGTCTTAATTGTGTAAATATTAACCTTTACACAGATCACATTAAAGCTAGTTCTTGTAGGTTTTCCTGAAGTGTCAAAGCTGAGGTTTTACCACTGTTTATGAGAAGCAAGAACAAGCAGCTTCTTGCTTTCACTGGAAGCGGTCTATGGTAAAAAGAGATTAAGAGGTTTTGTCCTTTACTCTGGCTACAGGAAAAGCTAGGCAACTTTGAAATAAATATTGTGTTTCCACTAATATGTTTTTGGGTTGTTTATTTTACATATAACTTGATTTTTAAGTTTTCAAGAATGACTTTGCTTACTATGTTCTTTGAATGTCAGAATTGGGATGTGTTCCCACTGCTGAGACTGCAAATGAAAAGGAAATATTGTATATAAAATGCAGCAAAAACATCATCATTTAACTTTCCTGTTACAAGGCAGAAACTAAATATAGCAAAAGATCTTTGTTCTGATGCTTTGGGAGATGAGCACTACTCCACTGTAAAGAACAGAAAAATCTTTTACTATCCAGATACTGTTATTCAGCTCTCTATCAGGGAGTATCACTCAGACCTATTCCAAGCATCTTTTGAGATTCTATTCAGATTTCTTCTTCCCATTCAGAATTTTTAAATGAATGAAAGGAAAACTAACTAGACGACACCTCTGCTTCAGAAAAGTCCAAGACAGATAGAATTAAATAGGGATAGGAACAGTCTTCTCCTTTTCTGAAACCAAATTTCTCTAGTAATTTAGTTTTTCCTTAAATACAATGAAATTCCCTGCTCTTCTTTTCAAAGCTACCTATATGGATCTCACAACAGAGAAGAAAACAATTCAAGTTCCCAAACCTTTCAGTGGCCCCATGTGCAGACGTTGCTCGAGCTCGCTGAATTTCATCTTCCAAGCGTCTTTTTTCTTCCTCCAAACGTGCAATGTCTTCTGGGGATCGTCTCTGCTGACTGATGAGCTGCAACTCCTGAAGAAGAGCCTCCTTCTCTTTGATGAGCTGAAGACGGTCCCTGTCCGCTTCAGCCATTCCTGGCCAGGATTCATTATCAAGCAAGGCCAGCTGCTGTTGTATATTCGAAACTCTTTAAAAGAGGATAAATGTATTTCAAAATGCAGAAGAGAAAGACAAGAGGAAAAATATCTAAACATGAAGCCTGTTGATGTCTGTGCCCTTTTTCTTCTAAATACCAAACCAAGAAAATTTAGAGGGGTTTGGGAGAGTATTTGTTTCTGGGTTTTGGACTGGGTTTGTTTTTGGAGGGTTTTGTTTGGTTGATTGGTTTCAGGGTTCTTTTTAATTGTTTTGTGCATTTTTAAAACAGTAAACAGTTGAAAGTGTTCCTACATGTGTAAATGTGCGAGAACTACAGTGCTTTTATCTACTCTATAGACAATATCTGTCTTCACAGCTTTCTCACTTCGTAAAAAATGAATTAATATTTTAGAGCTCAAGTTTACTTCTTGTAGAGCTGATGAAGCAGAACATTTTTTGGTTCCTAATTCTTCTACAATCACATCTTAAACTGGAATTTTAAAAGTACAGTAAGAATTTGAAGAAGCAGAAGGTGAGACACTTAACTAATGACAACATGTCCATACAATCACATCCCACCTTGTAGAGGAATGGTTCAAGGGACTGAAAATATTAGACTTCCCTAAATTACAACAAAATTTTAAAGCTGCCATTAAAACAGAAACATCAGTCTGGAAAAAAGATTTACCGGTTACAAAATACAAGTGGCTTTAGATGAATGTAGCATAAAAATATGCAATTAAATAAGCTAATTTGTTGGGGTTTTTTTCCTGTAGTATGCTTTATAGCTACTATAAAAGTAGTTTCTTATATGTCAATATGCTGTACCATCACATGAAACAACATTTTTAAGAATAATTCCACAGCTGACATTTTAAGAACATGTTCTTTTAGAAACAAATTTTGAACTCATATCAGTATTACCAAGAACACTAAAGCTAGACATTTCACAAATGTTTCTTGTGGCGTAAGAGGGAGAACACTTATTGCTAGGTATTTATGTTTGTCTGGCAATGACAATTTAGACACTTTAGAATGTAACATTTAAAATTAGAGGTAAGAGAAAATCTGGCTTTCTGATTTTTGAACATTTAATACTCAGGAACTGTACAACATTTGAGCAGTTTACATGTTAGTTTCATCTTCACTTTGAAATGGTTCCATTCAAACAAAGATCAGTACTTCTAAAAGATTACTACCCTTAAAATATATAAATAAAGACATTTTCAAGCCAGCCATCAAAGTGGGATATAGTTAATTGGTTTTGATAAAAACAATCTTTTTCAAATAGAGCTGGTAAGAAAGAAAACTAATAACAAAAAAGCAAGGTAAAATCCCATAACACGCAAACCAAAGACTCACAGCGTGATAACGTGATAATGAATAAAAGGCACAGACATGACAAAGGCAACGTTTCCCCCATCTGAAAACAAAACCTCATACAGTAAGGTTTATCTCCTACTGACATCTGGGAAGTATTTGGCCATCTTATTATCAAGGGAAGAGAATAAACCATCAATGTAAGTAATTTTGCAGTGACTGCATCCATATATGAATAAGAATTTCAGTGTCCTTTTCCCCCACCACACACACTACATTTTATTTCAGCAAGAAATTGGGTATTATGTCACATTTTTGTCTAAAGCAAAATACTTTATCAAGCCCTTCAATACTATTTCCTCCTCCTTGCATTAATAACCAACTTCCTGCCAATACCTACTGAAAGCACCATTGTGGATCAGTACATACAGTCTACATATTTCACACTTCAGCTATTGTGCATGAATTCCAGATGCAGCTTCCTGAAGAACACCTCACCCCATTGACCAAATGTCAGGGCCAGGAAGAGCAAGCAGGGTCAGGATCCTTTCTCTCCCATGCCTAAGCTGCTCTGCTGTTAACATTCAGTAAACACTCCTGAAGCACACAGAGCTTGATTTTCAGGTGTTCAGTGCCAAATGAAACAAACAGGGACTCAAGATCCTTTCAACAGAATCGCAGAATTCCGGTACAATTGAGTTATCACAGCTTGGCAACCGAGTGTGAATCAGATGAGTCTGGACTATTTGATTGTGTTCATAAGCTTTTACACAGCTTGTAGACAAAAGAAGATGACATTCATCTGAAGTCTTTGTGTTTCTTCGTAAGACAGCTGAAGGACTGACCCTCTCCTTCATTTTAACACTGTTTTGATACTTATTTTTACATTGCAGGGTGAGCTGGTTAAGAGGCAGACCACAGGTGCAAATGAACACTAATGAAGGCAACAGGGAAGAGAGAAGTATGATCAGGGAAGAGATCTTTCAGTGCTAGTGAATCAGTGATTCCACTTGTCTGTGGAGTAAAACACCACCTTCACTAAACACAAGAGGTTTTAATTTAGATGCTTGAGCTTGCTGAGAGCACGTAACTCCCTTTGTGTATGACATTCCAGCTTAAAGTTTGTTTTTTCCCTTCAATTTCTGTTATGGTGATGCTTTGAAAGTAGGAAGTTCTCATACAATAACTTAATTATACTGTTGTTGAAGTGGGGAAGAGTACTGCTGTGGACAAGGTTTGTATCACTGAAGAGTTCCAAAATCTGATTAGGTATTTACTCTGATTCCCTTGACACTCTTCTTGTCTTGTCTCACTAGCTCTTCTTGTTTCTACAGTTTTCCCTTTACACCAAGAAAAAGCAGGCACAAAACACTATATAATGCAGGAATCTGTTGAAGCACCAAAAAACCAGTCTTCTGCAACCTCTATTTCCTACACATGAACTGAAGTTTTGGGGCAATTTTGTTGTTTGCTTTGCACTGGGGAATCCCTCTGTATGGTAAGTTGTTCCAAGAAGCTACCAGTGACAAACTTTTTAATATTTATCTCCTTGGCTAGAAGACACCGTTAAGGCTTTTATGGTCTCATTCACTCAAAATTATGAATAAAAATCTGAGTTGTCATTTTTAGTTATGCTCAGAACTTAGTAAAAAAATCCTCTTAAGTATGCTCTGTAACTGCAGACTATCTCCTCAGACACAAACTTTTCTTCCAATCACAATAAATACATAAATAAGCCATTTCACTGTGCTTGCCTATGCCAGACTTTATGTCTGTCATTCTCACTGCTGCTGTGTTAGAAGAAAACTGTCAAACTCAGTGCATATATTAAGCTGCCTTGAAACATCCACTTAAATAAATCAATGATTTGACATAGATTGCAACCTAAAGTGGAAAAAAAACCCCACTTAGGATCCTTTATGAAGCCTGTTTTTCAAGCACATTTCTCCTTCCTAATGAGTATTTTTAAGATACTATTTTTTAACTGTAGTCACTGCAAAAGAGCGCTTTTATCTGGCCTAATGCCAGATACTGAGGTCCCTACTGATCCAGCAATTTAACATATTCCTGTGGAAAAAACTGTTAATTTTGAGCCATCAGCATTCCAGGCATTTTGCCCATTCCCATCCTTGCATAACAAGTGCTGAGGAGCTTGCATTCCTCACTGGAGTAGGTGGTATCAAATGACCGGTTCCCTAGATAGGCACGCCAACTTGCTGCTTAATTCAGTATTTTAAAATTTCGAATGGAGATGAACATAACAGTTCCTGTAAAGAGAGGGGCACAGATGGGATGACAAAGGTTTAACCTGATGATGATCTTAAGCAGACACTGACTTGAAATGGCACTGAAATGCCATACCAAGGTATCTAGAATGATGTCTCACTCAAGATAATGCAGACACAGCATGAGGATGGAGATCAGTAGAGTCAGTAGTTTACTATACAAACTACATCATGGGGAAAAAAAAGGCAAGTATTTCCAGAATTTAATTAGACATAGTTGAATTAAATTTAGTAGTATGTCTGAATCATTATAGCTCTGCACAGCTCCCTCTCCCCCTGACAAAACAGGACAACCCTTCTGTCACTGAAAATACCTCAGGAACTTTAAAGATTTTGTTAATAGTCAGAAAATCACTTTCAAGGGTGATATCTGAACCCAGCACTAATGAAGTTATATTTCTGAGCTCAAGAGGTTATTTATTAGAGCATAAGAAGTAAGTAAAAATAACTTATTGTGAGATAAGCAATTTACAATTATAATTTACCCCATGTTAGATTCTTACGCAGACTTTGAACAAGACAAGTGTCTTGGGGAGGGAAATACTCTGAACCAACTCAAAGTTATTACCTCATGCTCATAGAATGGACAAATTACAGATATCCTAGAGCTGGCACTTGTTCTTCAAACTTAACATGGTTTGAATTTTACAAGGAGAAGCAAAAGGAAACCAAACAATACTCATCTACATTTAAATGCCTAGACTTTTGGCTGACATACCATACCACTCTAGAACTGCAGCCTTTGTTACCTGTGCTATGGGAAGACCAGTGGGGATAAAATAAAGAAAATATTCCAGTTCCTGTCTGAAAGAGAATAGTGGTCAAGATCACATAAATCAGCCCTGCTTACTCTTTTCTCTAGGTTTATAAGTGGACCCAGTTCTCTGACACTTCAGGTAACAGGGAATATTTCTCACAAGGAATACCCAAAGGCAGTGGTTGTGGGACTGAAGACACATAATGAAGACTGTAAGAACTTGGTAATTTCTGGTATTTATGCACTTTCTTGAGTGTGGATTATGGTTTATATCCAAAGAGGAAAATGCTAGAGAAAGATAAAGAAAGAAATGGAAAGAACAAGAAGCTGGGGAACTCGGCCAAATGCTCGCAAAATCTCTCCACTGTGTCTATTTTGGCTGTTCCTGCAAGTATGTGCCACTGTGGCTTTGGCAGACCACATGAGTATGCTCTGTAGAATACCCAGCCTTCCTCACAACACAATTCATTCAATAACAACGAGGTCTTAAACTGGCTTAAGATACTCATGGAACCATTAGAGTTCACTGGCATTTTGCACATTTTAGGAAAATTGAAAAAGTCTGCTCAAAGCAAGCTTTCCCAAAAACACAGGTGAAAATAGTACAAAACTTTAAAGAAGTTCAAAAGCATGTCTAAGCTTCCTTTATAACTCAAAGAAAATGTTTTATGTTTAAAAACTAGCAATGGGAGATTTAGGTTTGGCTGAGCCAGGTATTTATGTGACATCAAACAAATTACTTCATCCTTGAATCAGATTTTCATATTTGTTCAGCAGAATAAAGCGTACAAATCCACTGAATTTCACTAGAGATTAGGTAATTAAACCTTGAAACCTGCCTATACAAGATAAATTTTAAAAGGAAAATACTTGACTGTGTAATTGTATTATTACTGGAATGTTGTTATCAATATCCAATCAACATGTACTTTGTCACTGTAAGCACAAATTGCACAGACACACTTTTGCTTATGCCAGTAATTTTAAAGACCTAACTGAAATTTAATTTTGGAAATGAGACAAGTTTGCAACAAACTATACTGAACAGAAAGAAGTAACATCCTTGAAGACAAATGTAGAAATAATAAGCATATCTGAGGAAGAGATTTTTTCCAAGGGTAAAATAAATCTCCTAACATTCACTGCATGCCTCTATGAAAGAAAAAATAACATATTTGAATTCAAATTTACAGAAGATACAAATAAATACAACCCAAACGAGGCAAGCTGGTTGAAGATGTTTGAATGTATTAGTTCATTAAAGTTAGCTACCATTCAGACTGGACTATCAAAAAAACCCCAAAAAACCTACAGCTGAAACTTTTCTTACTTCGTATTGGAGGTATTTATTTTTCATCTACCGATTAACACACTTCACTGGATATGAGGCACTGCAGCAATGACATTTCATGAACATTTGCTAATATACTTCATGTAGTCATTTTACTGAACTGCACAACTTAAGAGTTATCAAAGAAAAACAATTTGCTTTTGATTTCTTGTGCTATGAAGCAGTATATTCATAAAAGTGCTTGAGGGGTACACTTTCCAGTGTGCAAATGCTTTCATGAGAGGTGGTCTCACTGAAATAGCAACTGAAACTAAAAACAGTATTTATCCAGGCAGCTTGGGGCTGTGTGTTCAAAAAGACCGTCCTCCTCCCCCGCCTGTTTCACTGGAGGGCCACACTGGCAGATCTGAGAGGAGAAATTTCATGGAAATAAGGTACAGTTTATTTAGAAATAATGGGGGAGGGGTAAGAGTGCAGAGTGGAAGAAAAGTGATTGAGCCTCCTTTCAGCACGATTGGAGAGTTAAAAAGCAGAATTTACAAAACACCTCCAAAAGCCTGGATCAGAAACAGGGGAGAGGATCTCTTCCCCAGCGTGATGGAAATGTCAGAACCCACAGTGTACAACATCTGAAATACCCACGGGAAAAATTAAATTGCAAATCATCCAACTTCCTTCCGATGGGAAAGTGATGGGGGGAAAAAAGGCTATGTGAATGTCTTAAGTTATGCAAAGGCCAAACCATTCAGAGTCAGAGAGGTTTTTGAAGGAGGAATTAAAATGAAACTATCTTTTATAAGGGAGGAGGGATATTTTGGGAATGTAAGCCAACTCTTCTGTGACCACTGGGTTTCATCTCCCGAATTCCTCAAGACAGTTCATTCAAAAATCCCAGCACTGCATTTCCTTGCTTAGACTCCACATATAGAGAACATACTTTAATTTTTAAAGACTTTTTACTACATCTAGCAAATATTCTGCTTATATATGGCTAGATTCGCAAGAGCAACTGAAATGCAACACTCTGTCCTACAGTTTGTGGGGTTTTCTTCCTGCTTTCCTTTCACGGGAAAGACATACTTCTCTCCTAGAGTGTGTTTTAAGTCTCCCATTAAAAGTCTGTCTGATATACTTATTTGCTGTATGTTTCCACACCCACTTGACAAGCAAGCAATCACAATATACTGCCTTACAGCTGTGACATACTGTAGCATTTTAATTTTCTACTTTGTAGATTTAATCCATCACAGCACATTCCGTCACCCACACTGTGCAGCAACAGTAGATATTTCACCAGCCAAGGGAGAATGAACACAAAGATATTTAGTAGAGACAAAAGCCCTACAGAAATGCCAGCAAGCTAAGGGGAAGGAATGCATGATAAATGAAGAATGCAACCACAGAGATAACTGGTAGGGGCAATGAGCTTTGTGCAGTTCCACTCAAAAGCTGAAAGCTGATTACTTCCGTACAACATACTGGGCAGAATAAGGCTACTCTTTTAAAGCAACTAACATACTTTTGCTAAATAACAAACCATTGTCAGAGCTGCTATCCTGGGAAAGCAAAACTATTCTTACTGCAATCACCATTCTCTAGTTGGAAGGTTAGTTACCCAGATTTTCTACACTTAATTAAGATCAAACACCAGCTCACTTCTAATGTTCAGAATTGCTGCATTCCATGCAGAAACAAATGTTCAGCATTTCCAGCTGAGAAATGCTTTGCTACTTAAAAAAAATAATAATAATCCATAAAAACTCAACATCTCTTCACCCCCTCAAAAAAACACCACTCTATCTTTTCCCTGTAATAAACAAACAAGAAGAGAATTGATTTGAAAAACACAGAAAAGCTGTGTCAGAAAGCTGAACTAAAAACATTTTAATACAATCTTCACAGCATCAGTGACTCTGTTAAACTGAACACTATAAAACTAAATTCTATCATTCTTGCAGCAACTGTAAGTCACTAAATTATCACTGGACTTTTAAGTGCTAAGTTATCCTGTGAGCAATCAAGACACTGAGACATTTTTGTTTTGTTCTTTTTTCCCCAATTATTTAACCTTTATTAGGTAATAGTCACTGGTATTTACACACAATCTGTATGATGCAGACTTTCATTCAAGTTACAAATCCTGAAGATTTAGCTGTATTCACCTGGGCTTGCTTGTACCAGCTTAATTTTTGAAGCTGGTATTGTGTCCAAATGCGGGTAAATTTTCCAAGAACAACAGAATTATGTACTGCCTATAAACTTCCAATTTCTGCCAAGACTTGTAACTTCATTACAGATTCCCCCAAAGAAAAAGTCACCATGATATGGAAAAACAAAGATAAAAGAATTGAACTTCATTTTCTAACTCTTATTCTGAAAGATGTAAAAAACTGGTAGAACAGAACATATTGAAAAGAAAAAGAAATCCTAATTTATACAAATTTTAAAACTATGGGTTTTAAAGTTTACTATATTGAATCTTTTAAGTGTCAGTCAAATTCCACAACAGAATATTCTACACATTCTACTTCACACATTCGACTACATTCTAGTAGAAATCAAAATAATCATAATTGCATTAATTTACTGAGTTCAAGTAATCATTCATCTGTACCCACACTATTGTCCTGAATATGTGGCAAACAGTTCGAAAACAGTGAGGTTCAATGAGGACCTGCTAAAATATTTAAATCCATGAAAAAACACTGCAAGACTGGCCTCCACAAGAGAAATACTTACAATAAGCAATTAGACTGAAGGAGTTAGTGAAGAATCAATCTATTCAAAGTAATACTTGTTATCATTTTTATCTGACTTTTTTTCCAATTTCAACATTTATTTTTATGTACTCTTTTGTTCATCCCTTAACATCTTCATTTATCTCACATGAAGCCCTGCATTCATTCTTCTTCATGGCTTCAGTACACTGAACTTAAGACACAGGTATGCAAAGCTTTGGGTATCCTGACAGACCAGGCTGATAAGTGTAAGCTTAAAGACTGTTTATATCTAAGTTTGAGAAAGAGGGTGAAAAAATGTAAAACAGTTTAATTGAACCACTACAATTTTGTGTTTATACAAGTATAGAACAGGGCTGACATTTAGCTTAATCTCTTCAAACAAATATAATAATCTTATGATAAAGTCTTATATTTACCTAAACTTTTATTATCTGTGTACTACTTAATAGAGAGCAAATTAGTCTTCCCGAAGACATTTCAGCTTGGAGTCTGGTTCCAGTTCAACTTTGAAAACTTTAATCATTTTTTTAATCAATTAAAGTAAATATAAAACCCAATAGATTGTCTTTAATTACCTTTTCTTGGCCTCTTCATATTGCCAGTTCAGCCTCACTTTGTCTACAAGTCTTGTTTTGTCATCAAACCCAAACTTGCAGAGTTGAAGAGCAAGGAGAGGAGGAAAAAGAAAAGAAGAAACAAGTTAAAAACACTCTCATCACAATAAAGAAAGGGATAAATTAGTCTTCCTTACTGGATTCACTAAAGAGACCTCTATACTTCAAATAATAACATAATAAAAAAATCAATTTTGCAATGGAAAACTAATTCATTGCTAAAAACAGAGAAGATAAATAAGCCCTTTCAAGAAATTATTAACTTGGAAATCGAGGCATAGCAAATTGAATCATTGATAAATGGTCAAATCTTTTCAACTTTATCCAAATCTAAAAGAAAAGAGTATTTTAACTGAAATATTTTGCTACTTTATATAGCTATTGTACGAATACCCTTATTAGAAGCAATTCAGAATACATTCCCTGTACTGTGATGTGTTAGCCAGCACTTACAAAATTAATGCATTTTAAACATTAGTACAAAAAAACACCTGATCTTGAAGCAGCCGTACAACGTGCATTTATGTTGCAAATCCTACTGCAGTGTTTCTACAGCAATTTCTATTTTAGGGTATTAGCACTTCCCTCCTCAAAAGTTTGTGTATGGTCAAATAGTTAAAACCTAAGCTCCTAAACAAGTGCATGGCTTCACCTCCAGAATTCTCCTCTAGCTGCTGCTTTTTCCTGTCTCCATGATCCCATGGGTAAAAACTCCTTTTCTATTCACATAGTGCTAACAATAGTTCCATGAAAAGATTCAGATAATTATTTTTGTTTCCCTTACAAAAAGCCTACACTTCAAACATAATTTTCATAGTGTACTTGTCTTGAATTGTGTACTGCAAATGGGAAAATGTTCCTGTGTTCCTTTTTGTGATTTGTTTCAGAATTCAATAATCCACCCATCCACCACACCCCAAAGGCACCATCTTGCCTAACACCCTGAAAGACAGCCTAGCATTAGGTCAGTTTTCCCAGATTCTTGAAGAGTCTATCTTCTCAAAAACAAGACTTCCTCTTCTGCAGGGACCCTCTGGAGACATCTAATCTGACAACTAGCCAGCAGTGAAAGAATAATAAAATAGACAAGAAACGGGATGATAAAGCCAACGAGATGATTTCTAAGTAAGTGAAAATTAACATCCAAACTACCATACTAACAAACTAAAAACAAGTTGCTTTCTTGCTTTTGTGTCAGTCATCCACAGAGGCATATGTTTTATTACTGATTAACAACTGGGTTGCTGTAGTACTAGTGGAAGCTGAATTTTTACTTTCTATTATTTGGAGTACACAGTTTCATTCAGCTAGAACCATTTCTAAGGAATGCCAGTATGTTATTCTTGAATATCACATTTAAAGGCATACTTATAAATATGCCTTTACAAAGCACAAAGGTAAAACAGACTACATGGGAAGTTTTGTTGATTAAGAAAAATACTTAGAGAATAACAAATACTTTCCTTAGACAGAGGAAAGGAGCAGAGATCTACACATCTTCCATGTATATGAACAATGAATACAAGCATGATAAAAAAAAAAGATGAAAAAATAAAATTTTAAAAAATACACAGCTATCACTACTACCACAATGCTAACATCTCATGCAAAATTATGTCTACTGCAACTTCAAGCTGGTTAAAGAATTTTCTTCCTTCCTATCTCATTACAAGTATCAATAATTCAGAGCTGGGAATATGAAGAGAAGAGGTCCATGGTCACCTAAGCAAGAGCTGTTACTCCAAGATGAACCTGCCATCACCGAAGTGGCAATGCAAGAAGTGCTCTGCTGGGCTGGCTGAGTCCAGGAGCTGATTTTACCTGCCACTGCCTGCGTGCATGCCCCTGCATCCCTCTGCCACGCTCAAGCAGCAGAACCACCAAGCCCACAGCTTGCACACAGCAGAAACCACAAGCAAATGCAACTCCCTCACCACCAGTATCGCCCCGGACTTTTCCTTCTGCTCCAGCCAAACACCTCTTAAATTAAAAGAGTAAATAACACTGTATCACTATCAAAAGCGGCTAATTTTGTACAGCAAATGTTTCACATAGGAACACTCACATACCTCTCCAGTGATGTCAGTCTGAGAACAAGCATCACAGTGTTGTTGAGGTAAACAGGAGTCACTGAGTGAACTAGAATTGTGCTGGATATCCTGCAGGGAATCTGTAATACAACAGCTATTCCTGAATCCATCTGTTAATTTGGCCAGGCTCTAAAAGAGAAGACATATTTTAATACATTAGAAAAAATAGTTTTTATAACACTTTTTAGTAACAGAAAACAAATTTTGAAATTGTTTAAAAAGACTAGTAGCTTGCCTATACAGAGCTACTTACAGAAAGTAAAATTCATTGTTGTGTTACCAGCATGCAAAAGGTTTGCTTTGGAATAAACCTCTCATTTCAAAAGATGCATGTAACAGTAAACAGATTTTATATTATTTGTTTTAGATCTATGAATGTTTTATCTTCTGTATGGCTTGCAGCTCTTTAAATCTAGCAGCTGTCAACTTCACATTAACTGATAGGGAAGACAAATGTGATTCACCTGCCCTTTTGCCATCTTCAGCACAGGTTACATTCCTTAGTCACTACTGTTATCTCATCCAACTTGACGAATACCTTGTATTGATTGCACTTTTATGACAGCTGATACCATCCCTGTGCTCTCTTACCCAGGGTTCACATAGTTAAGACATATTTTACATTTTGGGTTGAGCAAGGGACATGGCTGAAATGTCTAGACAATGACACAAACTGTCAGTATAAAGCAGAAACATCAGTCTTTGAGGGGAAAGGGGAATACAACAGAATAACAAAGTAACAAAAAAGCTTTTTGACAATATAAGCTTGGTTGACAGGCTCTTAAAAAACCTTTAAAAGAACAAAATCGTTGGTATTGCTTTTATTTTCTCACTGTGAATTCTCATTTGTTCAAAAATTACAGATAATATAGTATTAGTCACAAAATCATTGTGCCAGTTGTCATTTATGACAGAGATCCTAAGTATTACACATCAAACAAAAATTAAAAATACTCTGTCCTTTCACCACAGGATAAAGGACAAACTAAAATGTGGAGAAAAAATTACCAGAAATTTGAAGATCAGTAATAATTTATAAATCATAACATAATCAAAAAATTTGGTTCTAAAAATACACACAAAAAACTTTCTAAAACTTCTTACTCTAGTGTCTGAACTAGAGAATCAGGGACAACTCCGAAGCACTGCACTGTGAAAAGGCTGGTCCTCAAGAATTTCAGTGGCTCTGACTACCAGTGATTTGCAAGCCAAGGTTACTGTCCATCCACATCCAATTATCAGAAGATTTCTCAAAGTGTAGTTTAAGGATAACACATCAATGCTGCTTTTTCTTACACCAAATCCAACTAGCAGAGTCCAGAAATGAATCTGTCTAACAGAAACTGTTTGCTACTGACACAAAGAACAAGGCCACACTGAAGATGAAGGCATCTGGTTTCAGAGACCAGGAAGCATCCAGGATTATAGAACTGAAGCAGGCCTGAAACTAGCCAGAAAAAGCAGCTTTTTCTGATGATCTCGATTTCCATCCTACATGGTCCATCGCTTTGCTGTCATATACCAGCCCCTCCCTCAGGCCATCCTCCACTAGAGATGAACAGGAGGGAGAACACCCAGCCTGGTACAGGATGAGTGAACAAGTAGGCTCACCAGCCTCCGGAGTGGGGGCCCCTGTTCCTTCCTGACAGCCCTTCAAACCACACATTGTTTCCCTCCTATTAGGGAATGGCACGGAGAGACACAGGTACACAACCACATATCAGAGCTTGTTCTGCTCCCTCTTCAGTCTCTGCTGGCTCTCCATGGGTCTGAGGGGGGCTGGGATTTGACAAGCAGCATTGGCAAGGACAGAGGACAGTGCAGAGCAATGCCAGACATGCTGCCAGTGGCACAAGGCTACCACACCACTTGCCACCAGAAGCTTAACTTGTCTACCTTGTCTGCTACTTAACTTGTCTTACCCTTTGGGTCCACTAAAAAAGCCAATTCTTCTGCCACCTCACAGCTGAACAGAGCCATTTTAGTATGAAGAACAAAAAACATACTTTCTCCTCAGTCCTGAAACAGCAAATTCAATTTCAAGTTACATTGCCAAGAGATCCTTAGCTAGTGTCCCTTTATCATTACAACCTGTTGCAAAAGGAACTGCTCCACAACATGGTAAAAAAACCCAACTTTTACTTCATGAAAACTGTAGACTCCTGTCTAACTCTTCTTCAAAACTCACTGGAAATCATCCAGTCCTGTCAAGACTCCTGCTGTATGGAGGACCAAAAGGGATTCTTAATGGGTTTGTAACATGAAAATAATAACTTCAGATCATAGTCTCTTTCCAGTAAAGCACAGCCAGTTGCATCAACAAAAACTCAGGATTCAGAAAGCTTGAGGTTTCTCCGAATAAGTTATGCTCCATCTGCCTCCTTTGGCTAACACACATTATATTACAGGTATGTGCAATACCACAGATTCTGATGCCAGAACTTAAATCTAAATTTTTGCCTGTATTTCAGCTACTTTATGAACTCCTGGCATGCTCCTGATGCCCTCTAGCATTCTCCCTGGCAGGAAATGAAGGGCTACTCCTATCTAGGTACAGTTGCTGAATACTGGCCCCTACCTAAAACTGAGAAAGCATTTGACAGGTAGCGATCACCAGGCAGCATCACCTTAACTTACATCCACATGCACAGATGACTACGCCCTAGTGCAAGCATAAACACATTAAGTCCTTCTAGTTGGATGAGTGAAAACAGGCACCAGCAACCCTAACATGGAAAATTACGACCCAAGTTTGCACATTTTTAGATAGAAACAATTTGTAATTGTTATTATAAACAGTAGGAGTAATTTCCTTCCCAGCTACATGGAGAAAGCCATCTTTCATCTCAAGTTTAAGGACTGTTTACGGCAATCCCATGGAAACTGCCAAAGAAGCCTACTGTTAATGTGAAATTCTGGGCACACCAGCCCAGACTTACCCAAAGAGAGAGAAATGAGCACTGCCATTTCACCATTATCTGTTGCCATCTGATTTGGGAGCACTGCACAGTTTCACTGCACTTCCTATCTAACCTATTTAGCTAATTTTACTGGTAACAAAGAGACAAGAAAAAAGAATAAATAAAAACCCCACAAAAACCAAAGTCCAGTGCTCTCCAAGAACAACAACATTTTAAAAGCATACATACACT